ATATACAAAAATTATTGGTTGAGATTTATTTATTAAGTCATAAGTAATTTAAATTTTCGTTAGATGAAAAGAAATGAACAAATAAAAATAAAATTTTTTCTATCTATTTTGCTTTAATAAACACAAACTTCAATTGCTTATAACTTATATATATATATATATAATAAATAAATTTCAATATTATTCTATATTTTTTGTATACTTTTTATTTGGTTTCTAAAATTAACTTTCCAAAATATTCTACGAATATATTAATATTCTGTATACACATTCAAATATTTCTTATTTCTCACATTATACAATATAAATTTTTTCTTGTTAATAAATATAATTTTTAAATCTTTCAGAAAAAATTTGCATTAATTCTTCCAATAAAATTTATTAAATAATATTATAATATTATAAAATAAATTTTATATCAAAAAAGTTGACGTTTTATGATCAATATTGATTAAATTTTTTATTTTCTTTGATAAAAACAATGTATAGAATAGACATGAAATAATATTTTCAATCAATTATTTAAGCACCAGCTATTTTATATTCTATGTATAACTTATATAATTATAAAATTTTTTTACTATTCTTTATTTATTATATAATATACACAAAGTTATTGTATATATATCTTTGCGTTGATTGTTTCAACAACACGAATACTAATTATCATAGGTTTCTTCTGCTGGTCATTCGGCGGATAATAATAAGGTATAATACTATCATACTGCCGAATTAAATTATAAATTTTTACTTTAATGCGAATAAATGTTATAATAAATGAAATTCGCAATTTACAATATTTTTTTCTATTTAACAATAGATGCTAAAATTTTCAATTAAATTTGTAAATAATTTTAATAAGCTTGAAAGATAAATTATCAAATTTAGTTTGAATAAAATCGAATGTAGTTTAGGATTCCCTAAAACCTAAAATTCCTATAATTTAGAATTTTTTAGAGTAAAAATTCCTAAAATTTAAAATTAGTTTTATAAAAATATATAATAATAAATGAGTTTTTGAAAATAGAATGAATATGAACTTAAAAAAAATTCAATTCAGGATAAATATTTACTTATGAAAAAGAAAATAATGTTTTCAATTATATTTTCAATCATTTCGTTAAATTATTTTTATTTTGATTGATAAACTGCTGTAAAAATATTTTAGCATGTTTGCCAATATTTTGCTAATATTTTATTATATTCTATATTTCCTATATTTTTATTATTAATATTTATATTAATATTTAATATTAGCATCATGAACATGTATTTACATTGAATATGTAATAAAATTCATATTCTTATAAAATTTGTAACAATAATTCAATCAACTTTGAAAAAAGTACATATTTTTATTTAATATAAAAAATAAAACATAACATAAAACTTATACATAATTCTTCCTTTTTTTAAATAAATTGATGATTTGATTTAATTCGATTTTTTAATATATCTTAAAATATATATATTTGAAAATAATGTTTTAAATTATATACAGCTATATATACAACAATATAAACTATTCATTGTGTAGAAGATTACTTTAAACAAAAAATTCATTTAAAAAAGATATAATACAATAATTATTTTTTTTGTCTTTTTTTTGCATTGAGCTATTGTATTATTGAACTATTGCACTATTGAAAATTAATTTTATTTTATTTTTTAAATAGAATATTAATATAAATACTTTTTATTCAAATAATTTTTTATAATAAAAATAAGTTTTATTATAAATAGTTCATTTATAATAAAACTTATTTTTATTATTTTTATTATAAATTATAAATTATAAATAGTTTATTTATAATAAAACTTATTTTTATTTCATATTAATATAACTATTAATATATAATGATATTAATATAATAATTTCTTAGTAATCAAATATTCTAAAAAACATGTCCTATTAAGACAAAAAACATAACAACTAATAACTAATAACTAATTTATCTTTTAATTCACTAACTTCTAAAATCAATTTCTTCATAACATTTTTTTCTCTTGAAAATATTTAAATTTTCTTTCAAATATTTTTTGACTAATTTAATTTGTGAATATTTTAGAATATTATAATTTTAAAAACCTTATGTTATAAAATATATAAATATATGATATAATGCATGTAATAATGCACTATTTCACAGGGTGATTTGACTGAGGAAGCAGACAGTAATCTCTATGTGAATCCCCTGGAAGCTGCAGAAAAATGTGGAAATAGAGTGAAGAAATCTACTTCCGGTGAAATTGGACGTAATGTCGACGCATCACCGAGTATTGAGTCATCAAAGGATCTTCGTCCCTTTAATGAGGGTAGCAAGATTACCTTAAATGATACAGTGCCCAAGCACAAAAAAATTCGCATTCAGGAGGTATACTTCTCATTTTCATCATTAATTTTTTCTTCAATTGCCTATGCACGCGTATTCATAAAATATCTATTAAATGCTATTTATTCACCAAATAATATAAAACTTTTTTAATTGTTTTTTTTTTAATTATAAAAAAATTTCAAAGAAATAATCTTAAAATTTTTGTCTTTGAATTATATTTTATTGTAATATCTATATATTATATAGATAGTATATATTCAAAATTGTCCCTATAGATTAGTTGCAAACACTTATACATATATAAATTCATATTTTTATAAGCATAACTACACATTGAAATCTATCTTATATAAATATTTATTTTAGATAAAAAGATTTAAAAAATATAGAGAGATATAAATATAAATATAAAAATTTATCTTTCAATTCATAAAAATTTCAATATTACTTGAACTAAAATAAATAATAATTTTAAAAATATTATTTTATATTAAATATAT